AACGCTGGAAACATCAGCTTTGAAACTCTTCATGGTGGCCAATTTATGCTATTAACTCAGTTGATAATACTAAATTATCCTGTTATACTCTCCCACCAATGCAGCACCACAGTTTCTTTAGAAACTTACCCCCTTTATTCATTTATGATATAATAATTATATGACTTATGGAGGATTCTGAAGGATTACAACTGTAAGATAATCTGCACATGCATACTTTTTCGCCCATGACTTCAAAAAAATTCATACAGAAAGTGGCTCAGGTTTTCAGCTCTGGATGACTGCCATTGTACTCAGTGGGACTTTTGTGTTAGATTCACAGGTTGTGATACAGTCATCATGGGGGATGTCACGTATGGTGCTTGCTGTGTTGATGACTTCACTGCGAGGGCTCTTGGTTGTGATCTTATGGTTCACTATGGCCACAGCTGCTTGAGTAAGTTGTCATGGTTGTTAAATGTCTCAAAAAAATGTTGATAGACATCACTTAATCTTCTTCATCATAATGTAAACTCATATTATACCACAACTGAATCCTTTCTGCCTTGATCTTTTTCTTCTAACCTCCCAGTTTCACCTTTTGAAGTCCCCTTTGTCTCACCTTCTACTTCATAGTTCTTTCAAGTTGCCCTGTGTTTTTATTGCCCTTGCTCTCTGTTCTCTGCTGGAAGATATGTCTAAGTTTTGAATGATATATTTTTTTTGAGGAATCCTTGCTTTATAACTTTGATGCTTGAGCAACACAACAGTTCAATCTCAGTAGCATGGTATTTTGATGCAAACAATAGTGTTGCAATCAGTGGCTATGAATGTATGAAAAAAATTCAAGCCTGTGCTGGATTCAAACCCATGACCTCTGCGATACCAATGCAGTGCTCTACCATTACTGAGCTAACAAACCAACTGGGAGCTGGTCATTATGTTGGTTCATAATAAAACCATGAAGAGATTAATCAATTTTTTTTTTTTGGAATTTTTTTAATTGTGACTTATTTATGTATATATTCACTCAAACTAGCACCCGTGTACTAAACAATAAGCAAGTTCAAATAAAGCTTATTACTACTACAATGACCATGAAGATAGTTGGTTGCAAGTTAGCACTTTCTTTTTATCAAATATGGTTATGAAGACTGAAAATGACACTTTATTAGACTAAGTTGTTTTGGCACAAGATATCCCTCATGAAATTCAACTCATTATATTTGCAACTTTTGGTCTCTTCTATTGATGCAAAATTGAAAGACCCTAAACAATTAGTAACCATATATACAGTACTGTAGGTAAGATAATGTGAAAAGGTTCATTATTTGTTCATTGTTTTATAGTTCCTATTGACTCAACTAAAGGAATAAAGATGTTATACGTATTTGTGGACATAAAGCTGGATGCCACACATTTTGTCAACACAGTCAGACACAATTTTGAAGCTGGAAAGTCACTTGCACTTTTGAGCACAATCCAGTTTGTGACAACACTTCAAGTATGTATTAAATGATTACACTGATGGGACAGTATCAGGATCATGTTTATTGTTGGTACTCTTGACTGATATAGCGGTCAATATATTGGTCGAGAGTTGGTTGATACTTAACCAATATATTGGTTGACAGTCGGTCGACAGTCGGTTGACTGACTGCTTCTTCTGGATGGGAGGAGCATCTCACATGGTTCACTATCAGGCATTTTGTCAAGTTTCCATGACAACACACCAGTACCCATTTCTCTCCAAGCTAGAGAGAGGGGAGAGAGAATGCAACACAGTGACTTGGCTGAGACTTAAACCCTGTGGTTTGGACCCAGTGTCTCCTTTTATTGTGTTCATACTTTCAAATAATTTTTACATATATGTATTTAATTTGTTGTTTACCCAGGCTGTATATCAAGACCTGTGTAAAGATTATCAGGTAGAGATTCCGCAGTGTAAACCATTGTCACCTGGAGAGATTCTGGGCTGCACTGCTCCCAGAATAAAAGACAAGGATGCATTCATGTAAGAAAATTATTAAACAAAACAAGGAAATAATCATGTAATTTAGTTCATTGTGAATTTAAGAAAACTGCACCAACTCTTTCATAGTGAGTATTCTTAAACAAATTGAACATTCTTTTGAAAATCTTTCTTATTATTTGTATTGGTAAATCTAGTTGTAAGTACTGTAGTGGTTTAGTTTCATTAAAAATTTGCACCATTAGATCTGAAGCTATTTGCTTATAAATAAAACAATTTTCTGAGCCAAGGATCACTGTAGTTTTAGGATGAAAATTAGGCAGTTTGTTCGTGTTTTCACCATGTCTGTTGTTTTGTCAGGAAAACTCCCATCGAGCCTCTGTCTTATTTCTGGAAGAATTGTTTGGCATTCTTCCTGCTGTGTCCATGGCATATTTATTGTTTAGTGATGTTGCCTAGCGACAACGGTGCCCACTTTGACTAAAATAATCATGTTTGTTCTGAGGACTAACTTAAAATCATTTAACCCTTTCATTCCCAAGATCTCATTAGTAATTCTCCTTACTGTCTACCATGCAATTCTTTTGATGTTAGTGTGGAGAATTAAGTATAATTTAGTATCCGTTTAAAACCGTTTTTCTAAACCGTTTAACGGAAAAACGTTAGTGTCCGTTTTCCCATGGAGGGTCACATTTGGTACTGGATGAACTACAACTACCCTAATTGATATTTTCCTTTAGTTCATCACTTGTCTGCTTGATATTGTATTGATATTGTAAGGAGAAATTCTATCTTGGTCACTCATAGGAGTGAAAGGGTTAATCATTTAATTGGGTGGAAATTGAGTAAAAGTGTTATCAAAAACTAAATTGGGAAACAGATAAGTGGGTGTTATGTTTTTGATTAATGTGTTATTATTGCAATTATTCCTAATTAAATGTTTGTTTTGTCACTGTATTTACGATTTTGATTATAAGAAGCGGCTATCATTTAAGCACATGCCACCGACCACAGCAGGTACTTGTTTCAATTTTTTCTCACTGGAATGATCTTTAAACTTAAACGTTTTTTTTAGTTACTTAGGTGATGGAAGGTTTCATTTAGAGGCTGTCATGATTGCTAACCCATCTACACCAGCATACAGGTACACATAGAGAACTTCAAGAGGCAGATTTTTTTACGTGTAACAAATAGCCTTGCCTTGCCTAACATGTAGCTTCATATTATTTTAATTGGTTGCAGTGCTCAACAGCTAGAGAGGCAGCACAGATTGAGCCATCATTGAAGCCTGATTTTTCTGACCTCTTTCGTGTAATTCTGTGAATAAAAATTCATCACTTTTTCGATTACAAAATTGTTTGCCTCTAGTAAAGGCATACTGTCTGTGTGGACAGAGTGCGATTCCCGTCTGTTCCAGTATTTTCCCTATGCCCTCACTAAAACAGATCCCCTACCGCCTTGTACGCTTTGGATTGTTAGATATTGTATACCTTTCTGGGCCTTTGAGACAAACAACTTTTAACTAAAATTCTACTGCAATTTCGCTTTCATCGCAGATACGATCCCTATAGCAAAGTGTTTTCCAGGGAATATTACGATATTGATGCCATGTTTCAAGCGAGGAAAGACGCCATAACTACAGCGTCAAGAGCTAAGAAATTTGGACTCATTCTAAGTACGTTGGGAAGGCAAGGAAGTCCAAAGGTGCTAGAGGTATTGCATACAGTTAAAATGTGAAAATTTTATAAGTAAATATAGTTTTTGAACGGAGTTCTACTTTGTGTGATTCAAAAATTAAACCTTCAGTTGTGCGTTGAAAGTAATCGGCTATCAGTTCGCCATGTCATGGGTTGACTGACGTGAACAATCCAAGCTACCCTCTCAACCAATCAGGTGCAAGGCAAATACCAATCGTGACTCGGTCAATAATGTTGCTCTCACTGTACCTTTTAATTTTAGTTCCCATCGGGTTTTGACTATATTTTCGTAGTGATTGTAGTGATTGGACATCTGCTGGTGACTACTATTTTTTTTGGTATTACGGCGTACTATCGAAATGCACTCTAAGACATGACTCAAACTCTCTCTGGACAAAATCAAGTCATTCTCGCATCTAAATATAATTTTTTCTGATGCAATTAACTTTGGGGGAGGCTGCAAATTTAAATTTAAATTCTCCAGTTTTCTTACGATGTAATGTGTGGAATATTTTCGTCTATGCAGAAGAATCTCTATTTTTTGGGCATCCTTATTTAAACGTTTTCTCTACTTGAGGGACACAAACTTTGATTAAAACCCTTGTATTCGATGCCGTCATTGAGGGGACACCCCTAGTTCAGGGATATTTTGCTTGTGACGGTTATTATTCATGTTATCATCTTTTCCAAAGAGCTCATAAAGCAGATTTCATGAATCCTTTTATCTTTTAATTTTATCAGCAGAATTTAGAAGAACGATTCAGCAAGGCGGGCCTGGAATATGTAATTGTACTCATGTCTGAAATATTTCCGGGTAAACTTGGATTGTTCGAGGACGTGGAAGCGTAAGTTGCTTTTCTTGTTAAGATGTGAAAACTGCTTTCCGTCGATAAGATAAGATAAGAACCTTCTTCACGTAAATTCTGTTTTGTCGGGGTTTCCAGGTTCTGGAAAGTCCCAGAAATCTGTCAAAATCAAGCAATAAAGTTTTCAGAATTAACGTTATAAGAATTGTATGTCGACTGTAAGGAGAATTGATGTTGAAATCTTGGCTATGAAAGGGTAGGAGAGGAAATTTGGAGACCTGGAGAAATCAGCCTGAGTCTTGGAAAAGTCTAGAAATAGTCCTTGAAATTTTTTCCTAAAAAAGGGTTCGAACCCCGTCTGCAATTAAAACGTAGCTTAGCTTCCAAGGGTTACTGATATTTATTTGTCACTTTGTAGATGGGTGCAAGTGGCTTGTCCACGATTGTCCATTGACTGGGGCTACGCTTTTCCTAAACCTCTACTGTCGCCTTATGAGGTAAAATAATTGAATTTCATTACTTTTAAATCCAGTTGAGCATGTTAGCAAATATCTTGAATGGTAAGGTCCATGTCATCTGCGGGAGACAAATGTTTAGATGCATTACACAAATGTTCAGATGCATAACACAAACCGGGAACTTAACGGTTCTCGTTTTTATACAGAAACTGAATCAAATAGTTTCAATTTCGAGACTAACAACAAAATGCAAGTAAACGCAGGTAGAGACATTTTCCACCGGGTGTCGAAAAGCGATATGGAATAGCTTTGTTTTTACTTTCCTTCACCCTGTGATTGGTCCAAAAAACTCGCGCCACCATCTCAACCAATCAGATGCAAAACTAAAACCAATCACGACTTGGTGACTCGCGTTTTCCCGCGCTTCAGGGACGTTGCCTGTTTTTACTTTGAGTTCTCATTGGTTAATGATGATGTTAACCTTTGTTCTGATTGGTTGTTTTGATTAGTTTGTTTTTGGGTTTTTGGACACTCACTAAAAAAACTGCTATAATGCGAGTGAGTCACCAAGTGTAGATTCGTTTTAGTTTTTTATCCGATTGGGTGAAAGAGTGACGTAAGTATCTAGTTTCATCATAGTGCGAAAAACAGGAAAAACAGTGGTATAGTGGTTTGCTTTTGTCAGTCAGTTGAAAAATGTTCTCATTGGAATTTTTTTCGTTTAATTTACAGGCGTCAGTTGTGCTTGAACAAATCGAATGGCAAGAAAATTACCCAATGGATTTTTACGCAAACGCTAGTTTGGGACCCTGGACTGTGAATAATGAGCGGAACAGACAAATACCGGTTAGCAGAAGAAAAAAGAACTTACACACAGAAAAGCTATCTGCGGAAAATGTTCCATCAAACGTAGAAGTCAAAGAAGGATGTGATGGACAAACTAAGGAGTGTTGTGGGAAATGCCATCAAGAGAAGCTTCTTAAGTTACAAGATGATCTGAAAACTAGTCTACAGTAATACAAAGAGTGCTTCGAGCGAAAACAATCGCCTTGGAACAAAAGAAATACGGGAAACAGAAGGCTCCTACCTTATCTTTCACTTGAATGGAACAGAGAGATTTGCGATCGATCGTCGCCAAACCAAAATCACGTCGGCCAATCTAAAATGAAAAGTATCACGAGAAGTAAATGAGCAGTGAAAACGGGTTAAGCGTGGGAAAACAAGAATGTTTAAACTGTGATTAGTTAAAACAATCACCGAGCGAATTGAAGCACAACCAGGAACGCCAAGTAAATGTCAACAGCCTGTTTAACATTAATGTGACTGAGTTCACAAGCAGGCGCATCGCAAATAAAATCAATCAAATTGATATCTTACGAACGTAATATTAGGAGAACAGCAAACTCAGCCAAATCAAGAATTTGAAAAAGTTTAAGTTCTTGAAAGGACGATACATCGTACATAGCTTACACACTTTTGCGTTCTGTCAAATCAAAAACACAGCCTTCACCCCTAAACACAAAATAAAACTGGCCACACGATCAAAAAACACCTATCTCAATTTAAGGGAGAGTTGTAAAGCGCGTGCGTAGGTAGTGACCCATGAGGAGAGGTATGTCCATCCGTCCTTGTGATTCATCATTAGTGAGAGAGTAAGTTAGACAATATCAGATGGTTTTCAAAGGGGCTTTCCATTAGAAAAAAAAGTTACCATTATTTCTTTTTTCTGTGCAATAATATGATCTTTGGATAATTCGACGTTTTGACTACCCTTCCCTAAGTATCAGTTATGACAGTCTGAATGGCACGTATCTCTTAGACTGGCGGTGAGAGAGATTTGATGGCCCAGCACTCGGGCCAAAGTAGTCTCTAAAACAAAGATAATAAATGCACAATCCGCCGACAGAGCTAAAAAACGTCTTCGGAAACGGATTTTGAGAACAAAGGAGACTTTTGTCTGATTGGCGCGGAAATGGATTTTGAGTCGTTTGCTTGTTTGAATTTCCGTGATGTTGCTTCTAGGCGTTGATTCCCTTTACGTTTTTCTTTTACAGAGCAACCTCTAAAAACTTTGTACACCCCCTAAATGTTTTCAAAAATTAATTTTCTCCCTAAAAACACTGGAAATAGGAAAATGCCTTCAACGACAACAAAATGCCTCACTTTTAAATGCCAGCCTTTTTTTCCCTCCGCAAATTTCGTTGAATTTTAAACCTCGTGCGCTTGAGACTGCGGTATTGACCACATACCTGTGACGTAGCATTTCGTTATTCAGGTCTGCCCCATTCTCCCTCATTATCGTACCTCCCTTATAGTACTTCCCCTCTGTCTTAAGCCAGTTCGAGGCGACTAGTTTGTAAAACGGAGGGAAATAGTTAAGACCCTTTGTTTGTATATAAATTTGTTACCTTCGTGAAACAAGTCATAGAACAACGATGTGAGCCAGATCCTCTGAGGAGATTGCTACTTCTCTTTCATCATCCTCTTAACAAGAAGAGATCGCGATGACTCGTCCTCACAGTGACGCTTTCTTAGATTTCCCTGAAATCCTGAGGTCAAGGAAGCAAGGGCTAATACCTACCCACAATACCTTCGCAGTTGTAGCGTGTGCTTTTTTCCTCTGTCTACAGTATCAAAAAGTCTTTGACAGGTTGGTGTACATTTCACGAAGTAATTGGTAGGGACACTGTATAATGCATGGAGTGCAGTGTAACCCTTTCCATAATGGGCCAAACTATTACAAAGAAGAATAAAACATTCCCTAGAAAAATATTGAATTACAAAAAGCCAATGAGATGTTGTATGAATTTATTTTGAGCATAAATTTTTCCCACTGACTCTGAACGACAATGAAAATAGTTCCTTGTATTGTAAACAATCACAACAACACTTTCACAAAAACCAAAAAAATTGTGTTTTCAGTTGGAAAACAAGGAGAAGAGTATGGGACCGACTTTTTCAGAAGAAGTAGTCAATAGAGGAAGATGTTTTTCGTCTTACCACCAGCGTGGGACAAAGGAAAAAAAATCTGAGTCCTCATGAGGAATAGAACCCCATGGAGACTCAGAATTTTTTTCTTTGTCCCATGCTCGTGACAAGACGAAAAACATTTTCCTCTATTTCTTTACCGAGCTCAAAACTTACTATCTTCGGCTTATTATATTTACGAAGTAATCAATGTTTACAAGTGATGTAATTAACTTAACTCCAGCACAAATTCATCTTGAGTGATTTAAATATAGTATTTTTGTGAATTTTGATTTGATTTTGATTTTTTTTATCACTAAACTCAAAATTAGATTCTACTGTGTCTCAGAATTTATTTGAAAATTTTTGCTATAAAAACTTTAATCTAGTAATGATGATAGTGTTTTGGATCAACCGAGTGGCGTGGCCACAAGCACAACTCCTTCTTCTGCAATATTTTGTGATCCTAGTGCTAGTTTTTATAGTAAGCTTTCCATTTTATGCGTATTTTGTTAAGCTGTTTTAAATGCAAGAATATTGATGATTTTGATGAGATTGTTAGGAATTTTGCACTTTAAGTCTGTGGAGGACCCAAAACACCATCATCACCAAATGTACACAATAAAACGAACCAAGGATTCAATTTAGTTTCGAAGGGTTTTAGTAATGGTGGTTTAGGCTGTTTGATGTATTGGAGCTTTATCCCTACAGTGGCAATAAGCTTAGAGGTGGTTTGCTCATAGGATACATGTCTTTCTTTTCCGAGACAAGAGGCTACATCCACCGTTGCAAAAATTGAAGACTCTTTCCAAAATATGAGGAAGTACATCATGGCTGGCATCAAAGCATTGAACAAATTTTCTTTCGAGTCTGTTAGGATGAGAGCTTAGAAAGTGTACAGTGTGGGAAAGGGCAATTTTTTTTTTTACTGGGTCAGTCTCAAAAATACAGTTCTCCGTGAGTTCCAAAAGAAAAAAATATGTACTTATTGACTAAGTGTGAGGGCCAGACGGAAAATATTTGGCTCGAAGTCATGACGTACAGACCGAGCGAAGCGACGTGCCAAATATGACCGAGTGCAAAATATTTTCCTGTCTAGCTCGTACAAACTCGGTCAATAAGCATTTTATTATATGACCACTTTATTTTAACCTAAATAGGGCGCGATAGACGGGTGCACACGGGAAACCACAAAAAACGATTCTAAAATACAAACTCATCCCTGTTTTCTTGAGCTGGAGCTAGAAAGACACATAATTCAACGAAAATCGCGACTTTTATATCGATTTTCCTTTTTCCTTTAAGTTTCTGCAGCAAAATTGTGTTAGTGCAAGGCCAGGACGGCTTTTTCCAGACCTGCTCATATTAAAGTGTTTATTATAGTTTTCTAAAGGATTGCGCTCGCAAAGCTGTACGGTCATGTGATAAAAGTAATCTAGCCACTTAGTCAGCCATCTAAGGATGTTGGGAGGTTTCATGCGGCAGCATCTCAGCCCCGAGTTGCCATAACTGGTCAGCAAGAGAAGTTATACAACCAAAGCACTTTTTGTAAGGGAACGTAGCTCACGTTCTTGTGGTCTGGCCTTAATTCCGTTTTCGGGGGCAATGGCAACACTTCCTTCCAAAAATTGTAAACTCCCCAACGCAGTCTAGCCAAAGTCCCCCGCAAAGTGTTATAATTAACTCAGAATAGCCTCCGTTGAGGAAAGTAAATATAGGCTACTTTACTCTACTCTACTCTACAAGGTCAAATGTAACAGGAACAACTTTCCTGTGATGTACCTTTAATTCGATGGAGTCTTCTCCAAAGTTTCCACTGAAGAAAAGAAAATTATGGTGCATTGAGCAGGCAGTGTATAAACGATGGTTACCAATATTCTTGACAATGAAATCCCCTGATGAGTGAGTAATCACGAAACAGGCTTGTAGGGATGAAAGTATGGTCTCTTAGTTTTTTCCTTTTCTCAATATATATATAAATATATATAAATATTATGAGAGGAAAAAACGACGCAACTACATATCCCGACAAGCCTGTTTCGTGAATCGCTTCACTCTTCAGGGGTTTAAAACCCTGAAGGTATTAAACCCCTGAAGAGTGAAGCGATTCACGAAACAGGCTTGTCGGGATATGTAGTTGCGTCGTTTTTTCCTCTCATAATATTTATTCTGCTCTGCTTCAACGTATTGAGCACTGTTCCACGCGAAAATCGACTTGCAGACTTCCTATATAAATATATATATATATATATATATATATATATATATATATGTATATATATATTTTTTTTTTTGCATAATTTTGGCGAACAATTTATCCCCTTAGGTTGGGGAAATTCTTTGAAAGGAAAAAAGATATAGATAAAAGCGTGCACGAAGCCCGTTACTCGAGGATGCAAATTATGACCTTGAAAGGAACGACTCGTGGAAAATGTTTGGAATCGATGTCGTTTCAATTTGCGTGATTTTCCCTCAAATTACGTATCAAATTGTACTATACGCTCAAGACTTTCTACTTATTAAGTTTTTACAAGTGCTACTTTAAGAACCCTTGCTTCCAGCCGCAGCAAAATGTACCGTGAACTGATGTAATGAAGCACTTGATTAGTGCCAGTACAGGCATAAACGGGGTAAGTTTGGCCCATTAAATCTCCTAAACAAGCACAATGACCTACCTTTCTTATTGCATTTTTCGAAACAGACATTGGTAAGGAACATTTTTTTTCCGAGGAATAACCTCAAAAGATGATTAACATGAGTTGAGGTGAACCAACCAGAGAAATGCACGGAAAAAAGCCTTCCTGCGGTCACGCCGTTCATTTTTATTTGCAGGGCCCAGAGCCTCAACTGACAGCATGCAGAGACTTTATCGAAGTTTCTGATTCCCGCCAGCTGCATCCCTTATCCCGCCAGCTGCATCCCTTATCCCGCTACCATGGCGAAACTTTGAACATCTGGTTATTATCGTTTTACACTGCAACCTCTTCAAGAAAGACACAGGAGATTTTCTAGGCTTTTTCTTGAACTAAATTTTATTTTCGCTCGTTTGGAATGGCTACATAGTTGATAATCAGTTGCAAAAATTCTTTCCTTAAGAAATTAAAGACTTAACGTTGAGTATATATGTAAAAAAAGAAAGGCATTATGTCTATTTTTTCGATGCAATAGACCTTGAATGCAATTGCCTCAGTCCAAATTTTTCGATCTCTCAAGCAACTGACCAAAGAAAGGGTTTCTGTTAAAGGATCCTAGTCAACCACAAGACATTGCGCGCTTAGTCCGCCATTTTATATCTGATGCCACTTGAATTCGAGAAATTTCCACTGTGGTGTATCATCAAAGTGCATCCGAGCGATTTAAATATATTTTGAGGTCTGAAATTGCCCTGACAGCCTTCTGAAATTATCAGTGATTTATTCTGAATAGTTGTGCAGTAGTTTCTCGCAATTTTCTTGAGAAATTTTTGTCTGTAACTGAAACCATCGATGGTATCTCGCATTCATTCACATGGAAGGCCTAAAGCCACGGAGCAGACGAGGAATTTCAACCTGTGGAAGAACAGGAAGGATAGTCCAA